GAACTTCCCCGAACTCAAACCTTGTGGGCGGGACTAAGTTCGGACTGGCACCCAGGCTATTCTTTTGTCACATTAAAGCCCAAAACCTTTGTGTTGATACTCATACTCAACTTATCAGGCACCAGGTTGGGAAAGCAGCTTTAGCAGAGACTCCCCAATTTCCTTAATCCCCAACATCTCCTTCAGATTTGGTGTTGGAAGCCAGAGTCGTACCCAGGCCAGCTGAGAGACATATTCCTCCAGCATGTCCAGGAAGGCATGTCCGAGCCACCTAAGCTCACTCCTTGATGTGGAGGAGGAGCAGCTCTACACTAAGCCTCTCCCTGATTACGTACATCCTCATCCTGTTTCTAAGAGAGTGCCACATCACACTGTAAAGCAATATCTGATGAGCCACTTCATAGTAATGTTAATAACTGAAATGAATTTATCTCACATTGCAAAAATTTACCTCTGCATCTAGCCATCCCCTTTGGGAACAGTGGGATGCCACTGTGCTGTGGGGTTAAGGATCTTGCTCAGGGACCCAGAGTGGCAGTCTGTGGGAATCAAACTGGGTTCTTGCAGCCTCTACAGTACAGCTCTAACAACAAGTCCAACACTCCCCATACCCCACTCCAAACACTCTGATCTTATTCTTGTTGTTGTTAATGAAACCATCAAGCACCTTTCAGAGGGCGTAAAGCTAGTCCAGTGATCCACTTAGCTCCAGAACACTGGCATAGGCCTTCCTGGAGAAGCTGAAAGGTTTCTCATCTAACACAACCTTTGGTCCCCCTTTATATGGAGCCAAACCCCTACCCCAGTCTGGCAGTCCTGGGGCATTGCCCTCAAATACCAAGCAGTGCTGAAAAGTTGTGTCAGCAATGACAGCTCGGCAAGATTGCGAGCTCTGAAGTACTTAAGTGAGCTCTCATCTGCCCCTGAAGCCATGTCTCTTCTTCTGATAAGGAAGGAACATCAGCTGGTTTATGGAGATCTTAAAAGTATTCCTTCCTCTCTCCAACAATTTCCTCATTTACGGTCAGAACCCCATGAAAAGCCATTTTAACAAAGCTCTGGTTTCCTCTCTGAAGGAGCAAGATGCCAGAATCACTTTTAGGCCAACCAATTGTCCTTCTCCATGGCCTCTTCAAACTCCTCCCTAGCCCATGTTTATGCCTCTGCAATTACCTGGACAGTACCATGCTTGACTGCATTGTACCCACTTGTTGCCTTAGAAGTCCCAAAAGCCAACCAGGCTGGTTAGGATCCCTGATTTTGGGTGTCCACCACTCGGTTAGGTGGTTTCGGGGGATGGCCACAGTTACAGGTATCACAGACCTTACAGCTACAGCTACTATCAGCCGCATCGACAATTAAGGCAGAGAACATTCTCCACTCAGAGTCTATTATCCAAGCCTACTGTGGAATTTGAGCAAGGATCTACTGGAGGTGGGAGTTGAACATGTCCCTTAATGAGGGTTCAGCCAGACAGGGTTCCAGGGGACACTTTTCCAGCTAATTCCAGATAACTCACTTGGTTGTGCTGAGTCTGTCCAGCTTCCTTCTCCTTTAACTCACCACCAGGTGGTGATCAGTGGAAAGCTTGTTCTCTCTTTTCACCCGAGTGTCCAAGATATACTGCTGAAGGTTGGAAGATAGGACTACAAATTGGATCATCAACCTCCAGGCCTAGGTGTCCTTTTGCCTAAGGCATCAGTGCACATCCTGATGCTTGAACATGGTGTTCATTTTATACAATCCATGTCTTGCACAAAAGTCTACTAATCAAAGAGTGCTAGGGTTCTGAGATGGGGGTCTGCTCCTCCTGATCACAGCCTTCCAGGTGTCACTGTCATTACCCACATAGATGTTAAAGTCTCCCAGCAGAATGAAAGGAGAGGCATGCTATCCAACAGTTGGCAGTTTGGAGCAGAACCAAATAAAAGGATGAATGTAAATTCATGAGTTATTTACATTACAGAATATGTGGAAATCCATAACCTCTTTCTCTTTCTATACACCCTCTGACAGGCGTTGACGATGGGGAAGATATACCCCGAGAGATGCTAGTAGGGATCTATGAGCGGATCCGTAAACGTGAGCTCAGGACTAATGAAGATCATGTCTCCCAGGTCCAGAAGGTGGAAAAGCTGATTGTTGGGAAAAAACCAGTAAGTTTGCCCCCAACCTGTTCTTGCATGTATAGTGGTACTACTGTCGTACTGCTTATGGGCTGGATGAAGCCATCCATAAACTTTAGCCTGGGTCATAACTCGTTCCAAGGGTGTATAAGTGTTTGTTAAGGTTGAAATTTTATTTTCCGGGTTGGTGAAAGTCTTTTGGGGTTGTGGAATGTTTCTGGGGTTGCGTTAGGGAATATTTTCTTGGGTTTGTTGTTTGAATGTTTGTTGGGGTCGGGCATTGGTAAATATTTTTTGTGGTTGGTGAATATTTTTTGGGAACGGGGATTTTGTGAATGTTCGTTGGGGGCTGGGGTAGGTAAATCTTTTTGGGGTTGATGAATGTTAATTGGTGTCGGTTAATGTTTGTTTGGGTTAGTGAATGTTTGTTGGGGTCTGTAAATGTGTGTTGAAGCTAGTTAATGATTTTTGGGTAGATAATTTTTTAGGTTGGTAAAATATTTATTTTCTAACTTCTTCTCATAATTTCTCCAAACTGCAGATCGGCTCCCTACACCAAGGTTTGGGCTGTGTAAGTATTGCTATTATGCTGTTTGTAGCGTCCTGCTGGACCGTGGATTGGTTCTGTTCCACTCATTTCTCTCAGCGTATTTTCTCTGGATTTTATCGGACAGAGCAAAGCGACGAGTATCATTGTGGGATGAAGAAATTTATATCAAAGATGTCTGGTTATTTCATTGGTATATCTCCACACTTCTCAAGAGTCTATTGCAAGGTTCTTGGAAGTCCCTGTCCAGCATGTTCTAGATTTGTCACTTCTTCCAGGCCTAAATCAAGTGGCTGAATGATGTCCTCGGGATGCAGCCGGGTCCTTCAGAGACCTGCAAATTACCTTATTACTGAACTTACCTGTGGAAGCAGAGATACATCTGAAAGGAGCAGAACACCAGACCTCCAGGAGCAGAAGTTTTATGCTTGTTAAATATGCTGGTGGAGATTCTCTCATCCAGGTCATAGTCATTCCAAAAAAGTTTACATGCAATCCACTGGACTTTGTTTCCAGGTTTGAAGATGTTTTGCTTCCCATCCAGGAAGCTTTTTTAAATCAAAATATCAGAAATAGCGTTGAACCTGTCTAGACCCTAACGACCATTTAACCCTCCCAGGTGACCTCTTTAGCAAATCCAGTAGGAAGGATCAGAGCCTCCTTTGGTTTTTTGGTTCCCCCTAATTCTTTTATTATTGTTAGTCTGACTTTGACTTTCTAACATCCTTGGGAATATCAGAAAGATTTCTCTCAGCACAGTCCCTGGTGTTCCACAGAAGATGTTTTATAAACTGATCAGAGGATCCAAACATTGGCACAAATGGAAAAGAACTACCTAAACCCTGCTGAGATCCTCCCACCTCTTTCCTTCTGTGTGATGTGATTGGCTCCTGCCTCGTGGAGACCATGGACCTGTTCAACCACACCAGCTCTGTGCCCGGCCCTTGAAAGGTGCTACTATTGAACTCTTCCCACCCAGACTCTGATGGGTCTCCCTCTAAATGAGTGTCCAGTGATGTCCTCCGGGGGATTTACACAAACACAGCCAGCTGTTCAGGTTCCTCCACGATGAGGGAAGCCCTGTTTGCTCTGTCACATAAAGTCCCAGGGATACTGGCTGAAATCTGTGGTTGGAAAGAGAAAGTGAAAAAGTTAAGAATGAATGAACACCTATGAGCCCAGAGGTCCAGCATTAACTCTGAGATGTTTCTGTCTTCTTGAAGGTGCTTTCACTGCCCCACCGCAGGCTGGTCTGTTACTGCAGGCTGTTTGAAGTACCAGATCCCAACAAACCCCAGAAGCTGGGCGTCCACCAGAGGGAGATCTTCCTCTTCAATGACCTGCTAGTGGTACGTCTCTTCCAGTGCCAGGAGATGGAGATGGATATGCTTTGACCCCAGTCTCAGCAGACCGCATCTGTTTTGTTCTCAGGTCACCAAGATCTTTCAGAAGAAGAAGAACTCAGTGACTTACAGCTTTCGGCAGTCCTTCTCGCTCTACGGCATGCAGCTGCTGCTGTTTGAGAACCAGTGTGAGTATCAGCAGTGCTGGTTTCCGTGGTTTGGAATGGTTAGCTGGTTTCTTTCACTGTTAGCAGAGAAAAAACAAGAATAGATTCAGGCTTCCACCTTCTGAGGTTTCAGTCTGGGTGTTTCCTGTAGCTAACCTGTACTGGTGCTGGAACGGGTTCCTAACTGGTTTTAAGAAAACACCAGTTCTGCACAGCTTGAGAGTGTTCTCAGAGCCACAGGCTGATGATGTCACTTCCTGTAAATGTTCCATCAGTTTTAGTCTGACGGTCGGCAGTATAAAACATTGGTTCCATTAACCAGGATCACTGAGGATGAGATCAGTCTAGAATAATTTGCTCTATCTTTTCTTCCCCAGGTAAGGTTATCCTTCCACTAAACTTAACATTGTAACCATTTCCTTTCCATGAAGCACAAACTCCAACCTGAAGTTCTGGCTGTTCTGGCTTTAGATCCGGTGTAACACCCGAACCCAAAATGTTCCCATCATAGATAGGGACTCCAGGGTTGGCTGTTGTAGATTCCTCTCCCCAGTCTATTATCTCCTCACCCTAACTTCACTGGACTCAGACCTGAGTCCAAAGGTTCCTGGTTCTCTCTGTGGTTCTCTGGACTCCAGCAGAATGGTTCAATGACCCATTCTTGATCAAATGGATCTACGTTCCTTTTAGGGATGCACGATATTGGGATTTTGGCAGATATCCGATATGCCGATATTTTAAAACTCATGTAGCCGATAACCGATATCGATACCGATGTTAAAGCTGGACAAAAATAAGTAGTCATTGAAAATAGCAGTTTTGTTATCCATTTCTGACACTTTGAAAAATAATATACTCAAATATATTTTCATATGCTGATATCAAATTGATTTTTAAAAACGCGGTATCGATCTATTTTACTTTCAAAATCTTGTGAAATTTCATCGTCCTGTTACAAACTCTCGTGATATTTTGCAAATTCTTGTGAGATTTTGTTAGTAAAATAGATCGATACCGCGTCAATATATCAACATATAAAAATATGGCAACATTTGGTGAATTTTCGGGGGATTTCGTAGCATAACGATGACATATAGCAATATTTCATTAGTAAAAGAGATTGATATGGTGTTTTTAAATGGCAATATATCAGCATATGAAGATATTGGGATATTTTAATGGATCAATATTTTTTCCCTCGTCTTTAGAAGTTTTTAAGTCTGTAAAAAAGAAGTTTTTGAGGAAGAAGAAGAAGTAGTATTTTTGTTTTTTTAGACTTTAGAAACTCAGAAGCTGATCAAATATCGGGTTAAATATCGGTGGGGTGGCCGATGTCCGATATTCAGTTTTAAGGCCGATACCGATAGGGGGCCGATTATATCGTGCATCTCTAGTTCCTTTATCTTTCATTTGTTCCGGAATGTCTTTTGATCTCTGCATAATATTTAGCTTTGAAGACCATAAGGTTCACTTCATGTTGCTGGCGGGTTTCAGGGATTTCTGAAGGAGGCCCAATGGGGCAGTGATTGGACCTGGGGGGTCTACCATTCCCACCGTCCACTGCTAACACGGTGCAGCAAGGATTAACCATTTATTTTGAGTTTTACACTAGATGCTGACCCAACAGTTGGACTATTTTAGCCCAAGCAACGTTTCTGAGCAGTGAGCTGGTTCTGATTAGTCCTCACTGTTAATTCTGACAGGAGCACTACCAGGAAGGTTCTGCAGTATGTCATTCCACATGTTCTCCATATAAAGCCAGAGTCCTCCTTAGTTCTGCAGAGTTCTTATTGCAATGTAGAAAAAAAGAGCCCATCCATTCTCTGTAACTCAATGTGCTGTGGAACAAAACTCCCACCTTGAGCTACAGTTTAAGCCAATTTATATTCACAGACACTGAAACATGTTGAGATGCTGCCAGTTTAATGACAACTTATAGCTTCATTTTTGGGTAGAATTGATTGATTGATTGACTTTATTGATCTCACAGTTGAGAAAGCCTAAATAGTCATAAAGGGAAGAAGAAGAAGGTGCCAAAGTAATGGATGGGATACAGCGCATCCAAATATGACAGTTTTTTGTTTGTTTTTTTTTATAGCAGGATTATTATACAGGGAGTATGAAAGGCCATGCATTTGATTTTTTTTTTTTTTTTAAACAAAAAAAACAAAAACAAAATTGTCCTGTCTGGCAATTTGGCAATTAGAATAATTGTCTTGATGCCAAAAAGAGCCCAACAGATTTTACTTTTACAAGTGGAGCAGTACGGCTATCGCCATAGTGTTCCTCTTGATTTATGCATATAAATTGTTTTATTATAATTATGCAGGGATTATTACAGATTATATGGACACTGCAATATAAATAGAACAGAAGAGGAAAACAGAAAAATAGGAGAAAAGATTAAAGAAAGAGAAGATAAAAGGGAGATAATGATAAAACATTTTCCGTCTGCTTCATCACCTG